TCTTGAAACCTCTAGTTCATTCTTAAAATCTAGGCAGGGAATCATTCTTTGCTTATTCCTCTAAGAATAACTTAATTATTCCCTTGTTACCACCAGAAAAATTCCAAACTCATCATGATATTATATAATACCATGCTGATCATATCCTTGATTACTTCTCAAGATCATTCTGTACTAATGTCTAGACGTCATCCTTTGAACTTCTATGCTCCAAATACTGAACTAGGCATTTTTTGCTACTGTTTCCTCTATCTATAATAGTATCTTCCTTCTACTTCTGTACTTGGCTGACTACTATTGCCTGTCAGGTCACAGTTTAGATATCAGTTTATATTCAGTAGTACTTTTCTCTGACCCTCCAGAACGGGTAGATATTCCCTCCATAGTATTCTACACTCAGCCTCTGAAATAGGTATTCCTGGTATTGCTTCTTTGCTACACAATTGCTTCTGTGTGGATGTAGGTCATGAAATGGCCAGTGATATTAAGAGTAAACTCAGGGATACTTACCTAACCTAATGGGGATTAAACTCCCTGTATTGGAAATGTAAACTAAAGGCAAGAAGGATGCCAATTAGTGGTCGGTACCAAGAGGGGGGTTGTGCATTGGGGGTGACAGACGATTCTAAATGAACAACGACACCTGATAGAAAGTTAGAGAACCAAAGAAGAATTAAACCCGTTTCTGGGGCAAATGTTGGGGGATGATTTCCTGATATTTACTGATACTCAAGGTCCAGGACTTGAGTCCTTACATTCCCATGAGAATTCTGTATTCTTACAACACAGTTCCTACACTGAGCACTCCCCCCTAAAACACACACACACACACACACACACACACACACACACACACACAAGCTACTGTTAACTACCATTTACAAACATGGCTCTTGCCTCTTGGAATGCAAGGTATCCTTTAGCAAGAATTTGCCACACGGTAGTCTTCTTGTCTCCCCATACCCACTGAGAGATCCGAAGTTTGTGAATTCTCCATCTTTGTCTTCCTGGCACTTAGTGCAGTACCTAACGTGCATCTGCACTCAGTCCAACATTGTTAAAAATGATAAATGAGAACAAAACTAAATGAAGGAACTTCCACTATTTAATAATTCAACAGCTGGCTTTTGTGTAAAGTAATAAAAAAAAAAACAAATGGAGTTTCCCCCTTGCTTATAATTATCATAAAAGCATTCCCATCTATAAACTTAAGAACCCAGAAATTGGGGTAAATGGGAAAAATATTGATTGTAGAGTTTGATGTGATTCTCCAAAGGACTGACAGAATGCCAAAGCCCCTTGGAAAAGCATTTTGGCTCCTGCAAGAGGTAGAGTTTATGACTTGTCAGGATTGGAATGCTTTAGCTGTATTCTGAGAGAGCACTTTGTAGGAACCCTGTACACTCTCTGTGTGGCTTGCAGGAGGGTTATTTGTAGATCATCTCAATGAACCTTTTATGCATCTGCATGAAAATCACAATTAAAGCAAGGAAAGTGCTGATAAAAAACACATTAACATTCCTTTAGCTTCAAGGAAGTCTTGATATCTAGTCATTGACTGGGCAATCTGCCCTCAGACTTCCTTCTGCTTTAATATGCTAAGGAGAAACATGTCTTCTGAGTACAATGTTGTTTTTTTTTTCATTCTTTATGTTTTGCTGCTTTGCTATGAAGCCATAATTCCTATGAATCTAAACACTCATTAACTCTCAAGAACTACTATTAGCTATCTGGGATCAAATGAATATAAAGGGAAAAATGGGCAAAGAGTAATTTCAAACCAATATAAGGGTTTTTGTTTTGTTATGTTATATTGTTATGGCTGTTTTTGTTGTTACGGCTGTTTTTGTTGGATTTCTTCCTTGCTTGCTTGGCTCTATAGAACAAACAGAGATTAACATCTTTTAAATTACTAGTAATCAATTTTATTTTTCTGTCAGATTTATTAATATCAGTTTTTACTATTTATATGTATTTCTGAGTTTGCTGTGTCTTAAAGTATTTTGTTTCTAGAACAGACTGTTGTTTTTGTTTTGAGAAGTGTGGAGCGGAGGAAGGAGGAAAATGAAGTTTACTGACATTTTCTTGTCTGCATTCTTCCATGCCTTTTCAATTTGAAAAGCTCAAGATAATGTGGTAGCTCTTATTTCAATTTCACTTTTAATACCTGACCAAGCACTCTAGCTGTGTACACCATCTTCTATACTAAGAAAGATTATGTCCCTGTAATATTTTCTCATTCTTCTTTGTTTTTTCTACGAAGCACTCAAAGATGACCTTCAGTTGCCTCTGTCTCACTGATAAAATTAGTTTTTCACAAATGCAACTTTCCAAAAGTATTGTCTCATCATAACAGATTAACATGATTCTGTTGGTTCCTTTTAAATCATATTTACCTCAAAGTCCAGTTATGAGAACAAATGAAGATTTCCTTGGACCCTCATTTCCATTTCTGTCCAAAACAGAATATAATTTTCCCATTTTTAAATTGATAGAGAAACATAATTCATAACGCATTATGATATTGCCACCTCCCTCATACATTGCAAAAGCAAAAGTTCATAATACAGAAAAGTCTTATTAAGCTTTAAAAGTTGGGGAACACTTAAATTCAGCCAACTATTTAGTAAAAGTTCTATAGGGAAAAACTATTCTAATTGGCCAATATTCTTAATGTTTTCACAAGATAGAATTGCCATCAGGTAGGGGGTGTGTGTGTGTATTAATGTTAGTTGTTGATTTAAATACTTATAACATCTACTCAAAAATCAAACTTCTTTCCTTCTTTCTACTCCATTAGTGCTAGGAGTTGTGATGAATGAATGTGCATTGGAGCAAATTAATTAATGCTAACTTTATATTATTTTATAATATAAATCAAAAGGCAATATCATGATGAAAACTTTGTCATTATGGAAGCACATTCTGGGAAACATAACTACACCCAATTCTGAGAATTTCAGGTTTGACATGGTAATACAAAATGGAAAGCAGAAAAGAACAGACAATGAAGTTCTTAAAGAATGCTTATTACATATTCTCCTTGAATTATCAGAACACATAGGAGCCATTTCTACATGCTTCTGTGGATGTATATGTACCCACCCCCATTGCCCCCTACCCCAATCATCACCACCAAGAAAGAAATGCTAATCTGAACAGAAAGGTTCTAGGCCATCAAATGAATGTGACTGAGTGGACATAGCCAGAGTGAGTGCCAAGTTTCCCATAGATCTACTCTTTTTATGTGGCTGCAGTAATTGAAGAGTCAGGTTTAAATCTTACTGGTCTCTTAAATCTCAAGTGGATTTATGATGCATCAACTTCCCTAGGATCTGAACTGAAGCAAAGTATTCCAACCTATTTTATCAGAGAATTCTCCAATGGAGCTTAGAAACTCAACTACTATTATGGCATTTCACGTTCTTTTGCCAGTGTTTCTTGTATAGCCCCTTGAGGAAATTATGGAATAGGAGAGGTGACTGAGTTTGGGGACAAGATTTGATATTTATGGTTCAACAGCCCAAATGCTTCCTAGCCTTTATCATGTTATAGAACACAAAGAAAATTTTACATATAATATGACATAATATGGTATCAGATGGTGCATCAGATGGTGGCTGTGCATTCAAAATGACTGAGCAAGTACAGCAACAGATCTGCATCAAATTTGCATTATGCTTGAACATTCCTCTGTGGAAACTACTCAGGTGATTTAGAAGGCCATAGCCATGGGCAACTGCTGATTGGCAGCTTCATCACAACAATGCACCTGCTCATGCATTACATCTCGTGAAGAGCTTTTTAGCAAAACATTAACTCACCTAGGTGACTCAGCCCCACTACAGCCCAGACTTCTGGGCACCCTGTGACTTCTTGCTTTTCCCAAAACTAAAATAACATTTGAAAGGGAAGAGATTTCAGACTATTGATGAGATTCAGGAAAATACAACAGGGCAGCTGATGGTGACCGGGAGAACTGTGTGAGGTCCCAAGGTGCCTACTTTGAAGGGGACTGAGGCATCGTTGTCCTTTGCACAATGTTTCCTGTATCTTGTATCTTCTTAAAAAATGTCTCTATTTTTCATATTATATGGTTATATACATCTGGAGAGACTTCGTATACTCCATATTATATGTAATTACATATGGGGGGGGGCAAATGTTGGTTTACAGTTGTGGGTACATGAAACAAAGTTTATTCTTGTGTTATCATTTATTAATTATTGTACTATTTTTTCCATATGAACAACTGTAAACCTACTTTTGACCTACTCTTTCCTGGGGTAAATTAGAGAAATGAAAGTGACTGTACAAGGTTTAATGAGAGAAATAAAAGTTACATTGCCTAAATATCATGGATAAAATAAAATATGAAATATTGAGGGGGAAATAGCGTTGAATTTTATGTAAACATGTAACATTGTCTGGTGGAGATTCACGGGCTGCATGGCACTCCCTGCACGGCACTCCCTGCACTGGCTAACTGCAGAGACGACCCTACTAACAAGGCACTTCCACCATGTCCACAAGAAAATTAGCTAGCTTCTGTAACCATCACTTTTCTATAAGGTTTTATGCTTTAACTGCTTATATAATTCCTAACCAAGATGTTTTCATCATCATCTCAAATTCTGGTAGGTTCCAGTGATGAGAATTCTTTTTTTTCAAACAAGCAGATAACCAGAAATGTTAAAACTTGCATTTTACAACCATTCAAATTTGACAAGAGTTGAAATTATCACTTAAAGTAATTTTAAATTTCCTGTGATAATGGAAAGATATTTCAAATCCAATTGAAGGTCAACATTTTGATATAACGATAAGGCTGGAATGTAGAGCATGCATGCATTTTTTCAACAGCTGGCTAGGATACAACTAAGTGCAAATATTAGCCACAAATACATGAAAAGACACATTAGGGGAACTGCCTGGGGCTGAGTTTCCCAGGAGGCCCTGCCCAGCCACCCCCAGCCCTCTTTCCCCACCAGTGGCCGCACCTTGGGCTGGGATCTGGGCTCCTTGGGCACCTGGACCACGAACTCCTCTGGTAGCTCCACGGGGCCCTTGTCCACGATGAGCAGTGGCGCGCTCTGCGGCTGGCTGCTGAAGGAGATGTCTGGGTGGTAGCGCACCGCTGGGGCTGCGCTCAGCATGTCGCAGGGGAACAGCGAGGGCTGGATGTCGCTCATTGTGCTTGGCACCTGCGGGGACCGCAGGGCGCACCATCAGACTCCGCTCAGCTCAGGACAGCCTCAGAGGAGCCCTGCTAGAGCCAATTCCCCAGACCACTCTCAGCTGCACGCCACAGGCCTCAAGCCCCAGGCCCCAGGCCCCAGACACCAGCCACCCCAGGCCCCATTAAGACAAACCTAGAGCTGAAGAGATTGTGTCTCCTGGTCCCTAGTGCGATAATGACCGCGTAGTTATGTTCTACTTAAACACTATCTTAAGTGAGCCAAAACCTCACCCTGATCCCTAACAATGATTAGAAAATTAGAATAATTATTGAAAGCAGAAAAAGCTACCTGAAAAATACAAATATTATCTATATTTTTAGCTTCACAGCATTCTGTTTGTGTCAATTATGGGTATTCATATCAATAAATGTAACTAGAAATATTGGTTACTGAATTAAATATTTTTAGGTAATAAGCTTCTTAAGGTAAGGGGTAAAAAAGGTTGGAGAGGTTTTTTTTTTATTTTGTTTTGTTTGTTGTATTGTTACACTTACATGGATTGTTTTATATTTATTTATATGTTTCAGGTCCTTTAACATTTTTTGAAGACATTGTATTTAAATCTGTGAAGGACACTCAGGTGAAAAGGATAGGCACATATTTTTTTCATTTATATACACAGTGACTTACTGACAAATGCACATATTACATAAATGAGTAAATATGAAAGACCAAGACAATAATGAAAAAATAAAATTTCACACATATACATATTTTAATAATTCACAAAACAATCATATAGTATACTATGAAAAACAGCTCTGTAAGTACAATCTTTTTCTGGGAAATTGGTACATTAAACACATATTTCACTACACTAATCACAGCTTGTGTAATAATCAGAAATGGTATTAAAAATGTTCCTGCTAAAGAAGGGAGAAGACATACAGGGAAAAAGATTTTGCTTTATACTACTATTTTTAAAATACTATAAGATGTATATTTAAAAACACATTAATAATGTTATATGGCCATCATTCAATAGTCGGGAGAGAAAATAAGAAATTTAATAATGCAAGATAATTTTATAATCATATTTCTAATACTGGAAGTTTATACCATGGAGCAACAATTTCTTGACATATAAAATATTCACAAATTAAGAATGAAAATACAGTTTCTTTCAAATCATAAAATATAATACCACCTTATAGAAAACAACAAAAAATGATATGAGAAATATGTCAAACAACCCGCTGACAATGAAAAAGTTTAGATTAGAAGTAGGGAAACAATATTTTTTACTTAAACTCATTATAATGTATGAGTACCAGGCAAAAGATAGTCTAAATGCTATTTTGATAGTTTGTGTAAATGAAAAAGGTGTCAAAGAAGGAAATGAGTTTTAAATCCGAAAAAGTTGTGAAAATCGAAATCTCTAAATAAGTGCTTCCTTTACTGTTTAAACCCAATGACATCTCTTCTGATTTTGTGACTTTTGAAACATTACTCTCCTCATTGCACCAAATGACAATATTAATTATTCTTTACATAAATACATACAAGCATGTTTCCCTAACATCTTTATAACAACTCTATGACATGAAATTAGCAAAATAATATAATGATGTATTATCCTACAAGCTTCAGTTATAATAAAATTGAAAGAGTTCACCAGCCACCAAGTTAACCTATAAGGACATTTGAAGTGATGAAGTGCTTATATATTCATTCAACAAATATTTACTTAGTTCCCATTATATATCAAGTCCTTTTCTAGGTGCTAGAGCTCTTGGTAAACAAAATAGACCATGTACCTGCTTTAATACATCATCCATTCTTGTGTGGGAGACAGGATATACACATCAAAAATTTGTTTTAAAATACTATATATAGATGAGTAAGTTACAGAAGGTTTAAACAGGGCAATATGTAAAAGCTTCTCGAATTAGGTTTCTATGGAAGGTTTACCTATAGGAGTAAAATTGAAACTGAGGTCTCAAGTTGACAGTCCTGTAAAAATCAGGAGTAAAGAGCACTCCAGGCTTCTTCAGAGCCCACAGGCTGGTACTACCTTAGTCTGTTCAAGAAATAGCACAATGGCCCGGGAAGCTGTACATGGTTGGCTGGGAAAAAGAATGGTCAGAAATGAGACCTCAGAGGTATGCAACAAGTGGACAATCTTTGTAAAAGAGTGTAAGAAGTTTAGTTTTGGAGCAATCAAGTATCTGTTTAAGATACTTGACTTAAGAACAGAATAAAGTTCCTGGGAAAAAAGAATAGAGCAGGAAAGAGGAAAAATTGGGAATAGTTATGTCCACTAAATTAAAGATCAGTTATTTCAGAAAAGGTCAACTTCTAGACTAGGCAGAAAATGACTATTGATTTAAAATGTATATATAGTAGAATCACCATTAACTGAAAAATATAATAGTGTCTATTAAATGAAAGAATCTTAGATTAAACAAATAAAAAATAAGAAGAACATGCTCAGACTAGAATGAGAAAGCTAGGTCTACAAACATAGAAAAAGTAGGTATGAATTAGAAAAGAAAATGATTCTATAGAGTAAGATTAAGGAATACAAAACACCAGGAAGCTTAATAGAATTTGACTCTTGAATTAAAGGAAAATAGACTGATATGTTCTATGAACATAGAACAAGGAATATCCTGTGTCTGTATCTCAGACCCTTCTTTAAATTCACTATCTCTAAGAAACAAATCCAGAATCATCCAGCAATAAGCCCAAAAGTGGAAGGTCTGTTACACTGTCCACATGGAGAAGGGTTATTAGAATGGAGCCAATATCTTAACTTTCATTATAAAAAATATTGTACCTGTCAAACTTAAGATACTGTATAACTTTGGAGGAAATATTTTAGTTATAAATATAAATCTTCCTGAAGCTATTATGAAATTATGTCTTCATGATAAACACCATTATAAGACTGTATTCCATTAGAACCATGGAATCTCAAGGCTGGAAGGAATCATTCAACTAGCATGCTACATATTAACCCTTCAATCAACCCTGCTAAAAATCTCCCACATTTCACATGAAAAGGCAGTGATCCCTATGTCCTTAAACACTCAATTTACTTTGAAACAGCAAGTTCTTCCTCATGTCAAGAAAGCTAATATTTATATACCTTGGCATTCTCCACTCATCTAAATTCTATACAAGTGGGTGATGCAAAACAGATCAAGCTACTCCTACAAGGTACTTGTCTTCAGATATTTGAAGCTAGCCTTCACAACATAAATGTCCCTTTTCTTCTCCAGATGCATAAGGGACAACATTTCTTTATAATTAGCTATAAAAATACCTCAAAATGTTATAGCATTAACTAAAATTTGGAGGTCCCTACCCCTTATACTCCTTTCTGATCTCCATTTGAGACCACATTTTTAAATTGTGTTATGTAAAATTGTAAGATGTCTCAAAGGCATTTGGTGCTGGAACAGAAAGTAATGATATGGCCAACACATCTTACTGTTTTCCCTAATCCTCCTCTGAGAGAAAAGCATTTTTTATCTTCTTTAAAAACTGTAAGTCTAACAATATCTTTTTTGAAAAGGAGACAAAGAATTTGATCCCATTTACAACAGCATAAAAACAATAAAATACTTAGGAATAAATGTAAGGATGTGAAAAATGTCTCCTCTAAAAACTACAAGACATGGATAAAAGAAATTGAAGAAGACAAAAGTGTACTGTGCTTATATATTGTTAAAATGTTAAGACTACCAAAATTCATCTATATTCTCAATGCAATCTCTATGAAGAGTCCAAAGACATTTTATAGAAATAGAAAAAATACTCCTAAAATTGTATTACTTATTGAATAATTAAAGAAGTCCTGAGAAAGAACAAAGCAGAAGGCATCATACTTCCAGACTTCAGCTATACAATAAAGCTACAGCCATCAAAACTACATGGTACTGGAAAAAAAAAAAACCTAACAAGTAGACCAGCAAAACAGAATTAGGAGCCAAAAATGTATTCTCAACTAGTATTTGACAAGGGAGTCAAAACAACTCAATGAAGAAAAGATGGTCTATGTAATAAATAGTGCTGGGATAATTGGATATGCACATGTAAAAAATGAAATGTAACATCACATCTTATACCACTCACAAAAATTAATTCAAAATAATTGAAGACTTAAATTAAATGTAAGACCTGAATCCATGAAACTACTAGAATAAAACATAGGAATAAAACTCCTTGACATGCATCTTAGTAATAATTTTTTGATATGTTGCCTAAAGCATGAGCAACAAAATAAACAATAAACAAGTAGGACTATGTCAAACTAAAAAGCTTCTGCACAGCACAAGAAATGAGGAATAAATGAAAAGACACCCTGCTGAATGGGAACAACTATTTTCAAACCAGATATGTGACAAGGGGTTAATATTCAGAATATATAAAAATTCATAAAATTCAATAGCAAAAAAACAAATGAACAAAAGACAAATAAAAAAGCAAACAGAAAAACCACACAATGAGAAATCACCTCCTACTTGTATTAATGTTTTATCTCTTATCAAAAAGACAAGAGATAAAAAATGTTAGCATAGAAGTGGAGAAAAGGGAACCCTTGTACACTGTCAGTGGGAATGCAAATTAGTATAGCCACTATGGGAACAGTATGGATGATTCTCAAAAAAATTAAAAACAACTACATACGATCTAACAATTCCACTTCTGGAAATACATCCAAAATAGATTAAAAAAAACCCTAACTTATAAAGATATTTGCTCGCCACATTCAAAGCAATATTATTTACAATGGCCAAGACACAGAAAAAACCTAAGTATCCATCAATGGGTGAATGGATAAAAAAATGTATTGTATATGTACAATATATACAATATTGTTCAACCATGAAAAATTAGGAAACCCTACCATTTTCAACTGCACAATTGTCTTTGAGTGCACTATGCTAAGTGAATGAGTGAGACTGAGAAAGACAAATACTGTGTGATCACACTTGTGGAAAACAAACAAACAAATG